TCTGGCTGCACCTGACTAGCCCTCCACCCACCCACCCCCACCCACACCATCCCAACCCCCTCCATACACATCCCCTCTCCCCTCCCCTCCCCTCCCCTCCCCCTCGCCTCCCCTCCCTCCCCTCCCCTCCGCTCCCTCTCGCCAGGTGACGGACATCATCCTCTTGCAACCGGTCTGCAACACATTGGCGTGACTTTATTTCCGCAGCCATCACCCCCTCCCCCCTCCCCCCCCTCCCCCTCCCCCCCCCTCCCCCTCCCCTTGTCACACGTGCACGTGTGCTCGCACTTGATCTTGCTTCGCTGCTTCGTCGCTGATCCTCCACATCGTCTGCAGTGTTTGCGACTGATTGCTCGACAGGGTCATCATGGGCAAACGGCGGAGTGTGACAAGGTCGCCCGAGTGGATGGCTATGGCTGCCGGCTCGGCTGTGGTGCTGGTCATTGCCGTCATCGCCTTTTGGTCCATCTTCTCGCTCGGATGGATGCACCTCAAGACGAACGAGGTCAAGGCGTGGTACGGTCTTTCTCGCGCCTGTCTCCATCCATCCGGCGGCGGCTCAAGCTGCTTCAGCTACGCCATCGACGAGATCAAGCCGCTGTACCACGGCGGCCGAGTCGCTCTCGTCTTTGCCATCGTCACCTTGGTTACCGCGTCTCTCGCTCTCCTCCCTGCTGCCTTGTTTCTCACCCAAAAGGCACCCTACCACATCGCCGTCGCTGCCTTTGTCATCCTCTCCTGCTGCCTCATGATCGCCGCCACCGGCTCGTGGGCCGCCTTTGACAATCTTGTCGTCAACGGGCCGGGCTTCCACGCCCTCGCCCCGCCACACGGGCCCTCGCTCTCGTACATGTTCGTCTTTATGGTCCTTGCCTCGCTCTTCTCCATGATCCCCGTCCTCGCGGGCGTCTACGCCTGGACCCGTCGCCGCTACACGCTCTACGTCTACATCCCGTCGTCGTAGACCCCCCCCCCCCCCTCCACAGACATACCAATCAACACCCGTCTCCACTTCCCCTCCCCCCCCATGCTCTCCCGCACCCGATCATCTCTTGCTCGCCTCCTTGCCCCGCTCCCGATCGTCCCGCGCCTGGCCTCATCGACGGCGCAACCCCCACCATCTACGCGCTCTCGTCCGGGCGCGATCGCGCCGGCGTGGCCGTCATTCGCCTCTCCGGCCCGTCTGCCCGCACGGCGATGGAGGCCATGGCTCGTCCTCCACCCAAGATCGAGCGCCGACTCGCGGCTACCCAGCTCGTCCACCCGGCCTCTGGGCAGGTCCTCGACTCGGGCATGGCCGTCTTCCTCACCTCGCCACGGACGGCGACCGGCGAAGACATGGCCGAGCTCCACGTCCATGGCGCGCCGGCTGTGGTCGCTGCCGTCCTCGACGGCCTGCAAGCCCTCGCCAGTCACACGCCCATGCGCATGGCCTTGCCCGGCGAGTTCACCCGCCGTGCCCTCGCTGCCGGCAAGATGGACCTCGTCCAGGTCGAGGGTCTCGCCGACTTGCTCGCGGCCTCGTCCGAGGCCCAGCGGGCGACGGCACTTGCCGCTGCGCTCGGCAACCATTCGGCGACGTACACGGCGTGGACAGAGGCCGCTGCCCATGCTCTGGCCATGGCCGAGGCCATGGTCGACTTTGGCGAGGATGAAGGGCTCGACGCCGCTGCCCTCGATGCCGCTCTCGACGCTCTGCGCCCGACCGCGGCAGACATGGCGTCTGCGCTCGCCGGCGCACGCGCCTCGATGGCCATCCGTGACGGCGCTCGCGTCGCCTTGGGCGGCCTGCCAAATGCAGGCAAGTCGTCGATGCTCAATGTGCTTGCCGGCCGTGACGCTGCCATCGTCGACGCCACTCCGGGCACCACCCGCGACGCCCTTGAAGTCCCACTGGACCTGGGCGGTTTCCCCGTCGTCGTTGCCGACACTGCCGGCGTCCGCGCCTCGCCCGAGTCATCCATCGAGGCCGAAGGCATCCGCCGCGCTCAGGCTGCCTGGCGCGACGCTGCCATCCGGGTCCTCGTCGTCGACGATGGCGGCCAAGCTGTCGACGACGCCCTCTCTGCCCTCGCGCCGCCGTTGCCGCAGCTTGTTGTCCTCAACAAGGCCGACACGCGGGCTGCCGACGCCAGCGCCGCCGCCGCCGCCCGCATTGCGAGCCGCCTCCCCGGCGTCGGCCTCGTCGAGATCTCCTGTGCGGATCAGGTCGGCATCGACGCGCTCGAGGCCGAGCTCACAGCCGCGGTCAGCGCGTACTTTGACGACGGCGACCGTGGCACAGGGAGCAGCACCAGTGAGGGTGTGGTAGTCACCCGCGCCCGCGTCCGCGATCACCTCCGCACTGCGCATGACAGCCTTGTGCGTGCCTTTGACGCTCGCGCAGAGCCGGATCTCGTCGGCGAGGCGCTCCGCGACGCAGTCGCCGCCCTTGGCAGCATCACCGGTGTGGTTGACGCCGAGGCCGTCCTCGACATTGTCTTTGCCGAGTTCTGCATCGGCAAGTAGTACCGTGTTTATGCGGGAGGAGCTAGTAACCGCCGTAGACCGGGCCAGAGTTGGAGAGCGGGATCGGCGTCGACGAGTAGTCGTCGGGTCCTGACGACCGCAGCCTCGTCCACGACCTCGTTCGCGACTTGAACAGAACAACGCCACAGACGACGACGGCGAGGACGCAGACGGCGATGATGATGTAAAACGAGGCCGTTGGTGTGCACGACGTTGCGCCGCTGTCCGAGCCCTTGAGCGCAGGGCACTTTTGCGGCGCAGAGGGTCCGCCTGGGCAGTAGTGGTCGCTCGGGCACGGAACTGCCCGAGACGCGTCCGGACAGTACGACCCGGCTGGACAAGGGAGACACGCCGACTGCGACTTGGCCCCGCGTGTCGGATTGTACGACCCGACGGCGCACGTGATGCAGCTCGACTGTCCGCGCTCGTTGTTGTACGTCCCCTCACGGCAGGGCAAGCAGCTCGACGCTCCGTCGTGTGAGAACTCGCCCGTCTCGCACGGGAAGCATCCGATCGACCCAAAGTACGGCTGGTACGATCCAGCCCGGCAGAGTCGGCAGGCTGTCCAGCCCTCGCGTGAGGCATACCTGCCTGGCAAGCACGGCGAACATTCCTTGGCACCATGCAACGACGTTGCGTGGCCGACGGCGCAGAGTGTGCAGTTGGTGCCCATCGTGATGTTGGAGAACGAGCCCGGTACGCACTGTTCACAACCTGTCGGCAAGCAGTAGCCCGGCTTGACGCAGCTCGGCGGATCGCCCGTGCAGTTGGCCGACGCATGCGAGATCCTCCCCATCCCACACGGCTCACACGGCAGTAGAGGCGCAGGCGGCGAAGGCGGCGACGACGGCGACGGCGGCGGTGGCGGCGACGACGGCGGTGGCGGTGGTGATGGCTCGGCCATCGGTGGCGGTGGCGGCGGTGACGGCTCAGCTACCGGTGGCGGTGGCGGCGGTGACGGCGGCGGTGGCGGCGGAGAAGGCGGAGGAGGAGGAGGCGATGGCTCGGCATCAGCACGCACACCAGCGCCAGCATCACGAGACCAGCGCCCGTGTGGCTCACTCTTGCCGTCCTTGCCGATGACGCCCCCGGAGTCCTTGCCCACCACGGCCTTGTCCGCCGGCATTGTTCCCACCTCGGCCACCCTCATCGCCACACGCCCTCCATGCACGCCACCGCTCCCCATGCCCGGAGTGGGTATGGTGGGCTTGCTGGTGCCGGTGGCGGTGGCGGAGGTGGCGAGGACGACGAGAAGAACAAC